CCGCTAAGAAAGGATTTTGATCAATTCTACCCCCAAGGGGATAAAATAGGGAATGAAAGTTTGTATGAAACTTTGTCAATTTTAAACCGATCGGGCTGAGACTTTGCAAGCAGGTATAAGAAGAATCATAGATGAATGTCATTGTGTAAAATACAAGCCTGAGAACAAAAACTGTAATCTACATTTCAGCTCTACACCGAAGCGAAGCGAGGGCGGGCCGCTAGTATAACATAAAGCTTTGTAGCTAGTGTTTTCAATAGTGGCCATAAAGATGAAAAGATAGTCTAACAAATTTCTACTCGGAAAACTCATACCGGTCGCTGCCGCCATTTTAAAATCTACATTATCTAATCAGAGCCAGCGTAGCGTATTTAATTTATCAGCCACCAAATTGACTACATAGATAAGAGTGAGCTTTCGGCTTTTTTTTATCACAAGCCTGTCTTATACCCGCTATACTTATCGACTGATTGAATAAGAAAGAAAACTCGACTAACTCGACTCATCGTCATCGTCATCATCGTCAGCCTATTAATGTCCCCACTGCTGGGGCACAGGCCTTCCCTATGGATGGCATAGGGAGATTGGACCATGACCCACCACGCGGGCCCATTGCGAAGAAGAAAGAAGTTGTGGTTGGATATGTGAAGTCGTAGTAATAGTTTAAAAAATAATAATAATGATTTATTTATTTATTATTGTTGATGTTGTTATTTATGTTAATTAATTTAATGTTAATTTATTGTTTGGTATTGTATTGTTGATATGGGCTGCTGTTGTCCGATTTTTTTTTTATTTGACAAATGAAAAGTGAATTTAACATTGTTTTAAGAATAGTCCCCTAACTAGGTAAACCTGTCTCTTGAGTACTGGAGATGATGAGTTTTTGAAGTTATACTTCTTTAGGCGCGTTATGAAAAAATGATGAGAGTGAAATTTTAAGATGCGCGCGCATCACTGTAACACAAAATTTTAACATAATGAAGTTGGTCGCTTTAGCGACTTTGCGTCCCGGCTGCATCTGCAGTCGTTAGCACCCACCAATTCGCACTGAGCCCGCGTGGTTGGTCATGGCCCAATCTCCCTATTCCATCCATAGGGAAGGCGTGTGCCTCAGCAGTGGGGACATTAATAGGCTTATGATGATGTATGATGAATCAGTATACATTCTTCGACTATCAGGTACTTGAAAACTTCTCAATCACCACTTAACATCAGATGGGGTAGAGTCATTTGCCTACCTGTCTATATAAAGAAAAATGGGTGCGTGTACTTATGTAGGCGCGTGAGAAGTTATCCTTCTTTGGCATCGTTTAAAATTAGTTTTTAATTGCATGCAAATAATTAATTACAATAAATTAATAAAAAGTCTGGAAAAGGACACAGTCAATAAAGTTCAGTTTTAATTTGAAAAAATAAATAAATAATCAAAATATTCAATTAAAATCGCTACTGAATATAATTTATTAGAACATATGTGATTTGCACTTGTATGAAACTCAAACACGTATTCCGAATATACAGACTAGAAACATGTGGATAAATATTATAAATATGAATACCTATAACTGTTACTATATTACAAAAAATAAAGATGTGGTTTTTGGTTCTACTACACCAATGGTCAAGAGATGGCGCTGTAGTCTCCTGAATCGCGCTTTGGTTCCGTTGTTCCAGATTAATAAATACTTTTGATAGGCCTTCACAATGCAGTCGTTAGCACCCACAAAATAGAGATTCTATTTCTATTTTGTTGGTAGATTTTCTTAATGTGCGGTAAAAACAAAAGTTATTTTTTTGTGTTACAGTGATGCGCGCGCATCTTAAAATTTCACTCTCATCATTTTTTCATAACGCGCCTAAAGAAGTATAACTTCAAAAAAATATTTTGTCGCGTACGCTATGGAGGTCATTGAAAATAGAGCGAAGTGATGTACCAACTAAAGGACACCCGGCATTTTGTGCCAAAGTTGTATACTTTTTGATTTTTTTTTATCTGTGTTTCATAATTGAGTAACGTAGTCTGGCAATATTTGTCATCAGCAGCTAGCTGTCAATGTCAAATACGTAGGTTTGTCAATATAACCTCTATATGTAGCCGGGTCGTCAAGAGAAATAACGGATAAAAAGGCAATCACAGCAGAGAACATTCACAATCACAGTACGCGGGAGCGGATGCGAAATGCGAATGATTTTTTTGTTTGTATTTTATGATTGTCAAATTGACATTTGGTTTTTTATTTAAAAAAGCAAAGAAATCATGGTTTTTACAGTCACTTGAGTAATATTTTGAAGTAAAATTCTGTTCCTTGAAGATTTAGGGTTTCCATATCAAAAAATATTAATCATGATATAACTTCTTTCCACGATTCACTAAAAATAAGGCAAAAGTAGTTTTATGTAGCAAATAATTTTGGCTTTATTTTGAGACCAAATTCAACTGTATACAAGTTTAGCATTTTTTCTATGACAAGTGCCGGGTCTGCTTTATAGGAGACATAAATATCTACAAAAAAGTCCGTAATACCTTATGCCAGCGATCCGTACTGGTAACAGTTACATTGAGAAAGCAGATTGAAGCGTAGTAGTTGTTTATTAATTTCAATGACCAGCGCGTGTCGAGACTGTCGGAACTTGTCGGCGACGTTCGGTGCTTATCGGCGCTGGTCCATAGATACGCCTGCGCCGATTGCCTGCGCAAACTGGTTCCTATAAGCGCTGGTAGGCTACCAGATTTCTTTCTGTATACGGCCTAAGGGTGCGGCCAGAGTGCACTCAGATTCAGATTCAGATTTCGAAAACAAGCGCGAGAAATAAACAGTGTAGTCGAAGGGTACGGCCAGAGTGCACTCCTGATTCAGACTCAGAAAACAAAGCGCGAGAAAAAGCAGGCAACCTGCTTAGACTACACTGTTTATTTCTCGCGCTTGTTTTCGAAATCTGAATCTGAATCTGAGTGCACTCTGGCCGCACCCTAAGGCCGCATACAGAAAGAAATATGTAATGGCCTTGAGGAGCTCGATGGCTCAAGTGGTTAGCGCGTTCCGTAGCGATCGTTGAATTTAAGCAACTTTCGCAGTGGTCGGTCATTGGATGGGTGACCGAAAATTTAATATCTCGAGCTAATAATAAGCCGTTGGTCCCGTCTGCATCTGCAGTCGTTAGCAGTCACAACGTCGCAGAGCAAACAGAAAGTTGCAAGTCTCTGTATTATTTATTTTTAAGACAAAAATAGTCTTCATTTGACATACCCGTTTTTATTGAAAACGGTTTAATTTATTTTTAAAAATTCTGCTGTCTATTTAAAGCTACAGGGAATAATTACGTTTGTTTTTAAGCATTTCTGGTTATACTTCATAAAAATTTTGGTCGGCATTTACTGATTTTGGTGATCAATCACAATAAATATAAACTGTTTTCATTAAATCATATCTAAATCTAAAGAAAATTTTACTAGAAAAAAATCCACGTTGACCAGCCAGCAGACGGGACTGTCCCGTGATTGATCACCAGCAGACGGGACTGTCCTGTGATTGATCACCAGCAGACGGGACTGTCCCGAGATTGATCACCAGCAGTCGGGACTGTCCTGTGATTGATCACCAGTAGACGGGACTGTCCTGTTTTGATGCCTGGTCCGCGTGGATTTTTTTCTAGTAATAATTTCTTTAGTATTAAACATCTAGCAGTTAAATGCTTAAAAAATAAAAATAAAGACGATAACTTTCACATTTATAATAATTATTGACAGGAAAAAGAATGTTATGTTAAGAATAAAAATAAACTCTTTTTAATGCGCACAAAGACATTTATTTATTTATAGACAAAATTGGTACTTATACATATTTAAATTTTTAATCAAAATGTGCAGCTAAATTCAACCTTTATTTAAGATACCCAAGTTGCCATAAAGCTCACGGAATTATTTCTGAGTTGCACGTGCAAAAGCAAGTTTACCACCAACAGTAACTTTAAACTTTAATATTAAGAACTTCATAACCGCCCACAGCAGGTTCGCAAATATTTTATACCAAGTGTATCATTTTTTCTAAGTTCTTAGTAAAAATATAGAATCTGTTGTTTTAAATTTTACCACCCTAGTAGGTATTCGTCTTAGAACAAGATCTGAAGCATAGAAGTAATACTATAATGTTAGAGCTTACATTCCCATAGAAAAAAAAATATGGGTGCGTGTACTTAAGTACGCGCGTGAGAAGTTATACTTCTTTTTGGAATTATTAAAAAATAGTTTTTAATTGCATGCAGATAATTAATTACAATAAATTAAATAAATAATCAAAATATTCAATTTAAATCACTACTGAATAAAATTTATTAGCACATATAAATTTCGCATTTGTATAACATTATAACACGTGTTAAGAATATAGAAACTAGAAACATGTGGATAAATATTATAAATATGAAAACAGTGATCAGAGGCGACGAGCGTCCCAACATGTGCGACTAAGAGATCCTATTACTATTTTGTTGGAAGCTTTTTTTCGAGACTTACGAGTAATGTGCGGTTTAGCGGCCGACTTCATAGTGTTGCGCGCGCATCTTAAAATTTCACTCTCATCATTTTTTCATAACGCGCCCGCGGCTAACTTCATTATGTTACTTTTGTGTTACAGTGACGCTCGCGCATCTTAAAATTTCACTCTCATAATTTTTTCATAACGCGGCTAAAGAAGTATAACTTCAATAACGCAAAAGATTTCCAAACAAAGTATTACCCACCCAAAAGTATTAGTGGCGTGTTGGCAGGTTGCAGTGGACGTTGGATCGCTTTTTGATTAGGTATCATAAAGGTAACCAAGGTATCCACAAGTCATACAAAGGTATCCAATTTGACGTATCTATAAAGCTATATGAGTCGACATTATGAGTTGAATTTCTATGTTCCGAGGTAAAAATATAGAATCTATAGCTATAAATTTTACCACTCGTTTAAAAATATGACACATTGTCCTAATAGCATTTTTGTTTTGTTTCAGATAAACCATCATAAATCAACCGCCGGCAGATTCCCGCCTCAACTCGAAATAGACATGGCGCCAAAATTCAACATGACCGCTTTAAAAATAAACGGTTCGGGCAAAGGAAGTTAAAACGTTCGTCCAAAAATGTGAACACAATTCCACATGGGATATTTGTATTAGTAGTGCGTTTAAATTACTATAATGCGATCTGATAGACACAAAGTGACGAGCAGGGCTGTCAAGCCATTGTTTTTGTTGCTCCGGACTTGGGGTGTGGTGGTGTTTTTAACTTTGGCACTGTTCGGTGTGTGTTGTGGTTATCAAGAGCAGAAGTTTGCTATGGAGCCTCAAGATCAGGTAATTGATTTATTTCATTAATTAGTTTACATAGTTATTTAGAAATAACTTAAAACCTCTGATCTGACAACGTCTGATAAGCAACTTTCGCAATGGTTATATTTAAAGGATGGGTTACCAATAGGTGTGAGCGTTCTAAAGACGAACCGGTTTCAAGGACCGTTTTGTGTTCCGCGACGATAGAACCGTTTTACGTTTCGTATCAAAACAGTCTTCGTCGAACGACTAGTCCTCGGATTGTCTGCACGCCAATATGTACTTTATGATGAAGTGAATACAGTCCATAATAGAACGCAATGATATGAGGCCGTTTTGTTCTATGATAATTAAGCTTTGATTTTACAGTAATATAAGTTTTATTGTTGAACATTTAAAGTAAATATTTAAAGCAAGTATGATTGCCTCAGTGGAGACCTTACATTTGCGGCGTTTGGAGTCGAGACTCAGGGCCCCTGGGGAACCCGTGCTCACCATCTTTTCAAAGATATAGCGAAAGATTGGTGGAGACCACTAGAGACCGCAGAGCTGGCGGCTATTTCGCCCAGCGCATAAGCCTCGACATTCAGCGGGGAAATGCCGCCAGCGTCCTGGGAACCTTTGCCGACGGGGAAGACTTAGGGCAGCTATTTTTTTAATATTTTTAATTTATGTCTAGCTTTAGTGTAGTTTTAGTTTAATATCTAAATGTAAATTGTTTTTTTTTAATTGATTTGTGATATATGTAGATACTTTTAATAATAGTTTATAGAATATATACATTTAAAGTCGATTATCGTATAACACTACATTTCTTTCGATGTTTCGTCGTCTCGTTCGCAGCAACGAAACGAACGTTAACAAGATTTCATTTAGTTCAGTTTCGTTGCGTTACATTCCTTCGACTGTCGCCTCGTGTCGCGTGTCGTTTCGTTGCGTCACCCAGCCGCAACCAAAACCAGTCGCGAACGAGAATCGATTTGAGGACTAGTTTTTGTATAAGAGAAAACGGTTGCGTTTCGTCGTCAGAAAATTTGAGAACGACCCACCGCTATTAGGTGTGAGCGTTCTAAGGACGAACCGGTTTCAAGGACCGTTTTGTGTTCCGCGACGATAGAACCGTTTTACGTTTCGGATCAAAACAGTCTTCGTCGAACAACTAGTCCTCGGATTTTCTGCACGCCAATATGTACTTTATGACGAAGTCAATACAGTCTATAATAGAACGCAATGATATGAGGCCGTTTCGTTCTATGATAATTAAGCTTGGATATTACAATAATATAATCTTTATTAATGAACATTTAAAGTAGATTATCGTATAACACTACATTTCTTTCGATGTTTCGTCGTCTCGTCGCGTCGCGTCGCATGTCGTTTCGTTGCGTCACCCAGCCGCAACCAAAACCAATTGCGAACGAGAACCGTTTCGAGGACTAGTTTTCGTTTAAGAGAAAACGGTTGCGTTTCGTCGTCAGAAAATTTGAGAACGACCCACCGCTGTACGTGATTAGGGCTAAGATACCTTATCGTATGAATACGTAGAAGACTTAATTTACACTTCACCAAAATTTCAACTGGTAAAACTTTTTGAGGTGTATATAGGAAGTGCCAGCTGTAAATGTTCCCATGCCAACCATATAAAACTGATCCTAAAAGTACTTTTCATAATTAAGAACATACTCGTATAATTACTGATTTATTAAGGAGACCATTTGATCTTAGATTGAATAATTGATTCCTGATAATTCAAAAGTTCTTCCGTAAAGTAAGTACTTATTCCGAACTCATAAATTCTATTAAAATCAAAGTTACGCGGAAGGGCTATTAATAATTTTCTTTGAAACTTGTTTTGGTGAAGCCATTAAATATATTATGTGTATCGAACGCAGAGCTGTCAATTAAAGGACAATGTTAAAATTGGCCTAAGAACCAACACCAATTTGGCATTTATGATTATTCTTAGTATATTTTTTGCGATAATTATCAGTATTTAGATTGTGACAGATACTTACAGTTAAGTAAGCTAAATTAAAAAGTTAAAAAATAATCTAAGACATTAAATACCATTTTATGTGTATAATCATGACAGCGCTGCAAATAATTACGACCTCCGTGGCCGAGTGGTTTGTACGCCGGGTTTCATGGCTGTCGCCGACTCGAGAGGTCCCGGGTTCGAATCCCGGTGGGGGCAGATGTTTGTGTGATGAATACGAGCATTTGTACTCCAGTCATGGATGTTTAATATGTATTTGTATAAATATACTAATATATGTACAGTATATGTATTCTATCCATTACCCTAGCATCCCATAACACAAGCCTTATAGTGCTTACTTTGGGGCTAGGCTAATTGGTGTGTGTAAAAAAAAAAAACACTCTTTCTTCCTAATGCCGGCACTTCACTTGGCTATTCGTATTTGCTATTTTAAACATGACATCAGTCTGTCCTTTTCATTCCTTATTAAGCATGAAAAGGACAAACTGTTGTCAAGTGAAGGGCCTGCATAAAACTCGTTACTCTGTGGTTGTGGTGCATGCAGTTTGCATTCTTAGTAATCTGTGGCATTCGTGCATTCCAAAGAGTAGTATAATATACCGGAAAGTGCATTCTCATTTCGGATTACCTGTTGTTTGTGTTTATTTGCGATTGTTTTTCATCTAATTTAACTATTTCGGCTGCTAATATGCCATCGATGTTACCAAAGAGTAGAGCCCTTATAACCAAGTGCTAGTGAACCTGTGTCACAACATCCTGAGAAGATCATACTGCCAAATTATTCAAGAATATCTGATACACATTCACGCTGCATATTTACACAATATACATGTGATATACAATATGATACAATTATGTGAAAAGTAGTCAATAAATAAGAAGCAAAACTACAGTTTCAATTTTATTCATGATTCCTACCTAACCAAGTTTTTCCTAATAGTTATTCTTTAAAATTGCACCGAATAAAATGAATAAGTTGTAATATTAATTCACCTCATACTGAGTTCATACCAAGTTCATAGGTTGATCTTTGTTTCATTGAATATTAAACATAACCTCAAAAAAAATTTAGTTTTCCTAATAATTTAAGTTCTCAGAAGTGTCCGTCAATAATCTTTGTTTTTACAGTCATTTACTTACGATTTCGAACCTAGAAAATAATATTTCATGATTGTTGGTTCTTAGGCTAACTATAATGGACACTGAACAATCTCTTTTTTTGGCAAGTGACGTCTTATTCGGTGAAACAATTTTCAATATCGATTCAGTAGTTTCAGAAGTTTTACATACAAACTTTTCCCTCTTGATTACATGGGTACGGCTTTAATTTTCATGGCAAAAACTCTGCCCATTTAAGGACTAAATGCAAACGCAAAATTACGTTATTGCGCAATTGCAAATTCAAAACACAACGTGCAAGTGATAATAACTTATCAAAATATACGACAACAATATGTCCGATAAAACATCCGTTGACCTCGTCGGTGATAACAACGTTGAAATTTTGCTTAGTACAATAACATTTCGTGGACTAGGAGCAAACTAAATACATAACGTATGCCAGGTCCTATGAAATCTCCTAAGAAGACTTTCCACAACTATCTACCTTAATTTGTCAATTTTATTTCTAGACAATGTTTGGACTTGTTTATGGGGTATATAAATAAACTAAAATAAATTATTATAAATAGAAATAAATTAATATATTTTGTGACTTATTAGAGATGAGCTGGATGGCGCAAGTGGTGGTCATCTGCGATTGTTGCATTTAAGCAACTTTCGCAGTGGTCGGTCATTGGATGGATGACCAAAAATCTTCTATCTCGAGTTCCTCCTTGCTTCGGAAGGCACGTTAAGCCGTTGGTTCGGGCTGCATCTGCAGTCGTTAGCACCTGCCAATCCGCATTGGGCCCGCGTGGTGGGTCATGGCACTGTCTCCCTATTCCATCCATAGGGAAGGCCTGTGCCCCAGCAGTGGGGATATTAATAGGCTGATGATGATTAGAGATATTCTACTAAGTTTTTTTTTCTTCAATTCAAAGTTACTTCATCTAAGTCTCTTTAAATGTGTTCTGCTAAGGTTTTTTATTCAGCAAGAAATTTTATAATACCTAAGTTGAACGAATAACGTATACCTATTACTCTTAAACTAACTTCTTTATCTTAACTTTCATAGTTTTCTTTAAAAGTTCATGAAAATCACTACCAACATGATTTTTTTCACATTTTTCAAGCCCTATCAGCTTGAAAAATATGAAGAGTTAAAGGCCCGTATTATAGAAAGATTCTCAGTGATTGATCTAGTCTTGAGCATAGTTAGAAAGGGATGTCGCTATATATAGCACATAGCGGCATCCCTTTCTAACTATACTCAAGTTAAGATCAACACTTAGTTGTCATTCTGTAATACGGGCCGTAGGGACGAGGGGTCTACGCAAATAAAAATGTTCACTTCAAACTTTAGTATTTCAGAAACGGATCTGTAAATCGCGAAAAATAGCCTCATTACCACCTAATTCGTTTTTAAGGACCTATTCAAATCAAATCAAATCATCTTTATTGCGAATATAGGTTACAAAGTTGTTGCACAGATACATTCTAGTACAGTACAGCCATATTCTGCTTTATCGGCATGCAATATAATCTTTATATATATAACTAGCTGACCCAGCGAACTTCGTACCGCCCTAAAAAAATAGGGGTTGTCCAGCGGAGAAAATTGTGAATCTAAACCATTCTCAGATCCCCTTGAACACACACAAAAAATTTCATCAAAATCGGTCCAGTCGTTTAAGAGAAGTTCAGTGACATACACACTCACAGAAGAATTATCTTTATATATATAATTTCTTCTGTGAGTGTGTATGTCACTGAACTTCTCTTAAACGACTGGACCGATTTTGATTAAATTTTTTGTGTGTGTTCAAGGGGATCTGAGAATGGTTTAGATTCACAATTTTGTCCGCTGGACAACCCCTATTTTTTTAGGGCGGTACGAAGTTCGCTGGGTCAGCTAGTATTTCTATAAATCATGAATGATTTCAATGTCATATTAATAAATTTAACATAGTTTATTCAAAATGTCAATAAACGATAAATTTAAGATTGTAATTATTTCATGCACGTCATTTTTTTATACTTAGTCTAAAAACTTTTGTCTTCCAAAAATTCATGGACTGTATAGTAACATTTTTCTATTAAAAAGTATTGTAATTTGTTTTTAAATATATTAGTCACGGTAATTCAGGTCATCATCATCATCATCATCAGCCTATTAATGTCCCCACTGCTGGGGCACAGGCCTTCCCTATGGATGGAATAGGGAGATTGGGCCATGACCCACCACGCGGGCCCAGTGCGGATTGGCGGGTGCTAACGACTGCAGATGCAGCCGGGACCAACGGCTTAACGTGCCTTCCGAAGCACGGAGGTGCTCGAGATAGTAAATTTTTGGTCACCCATCCAATGACCGACCACTGCGAAAGTTACTTAACTTCAACGATCGCAGCCGAACGCGCCAAACATTTGCGCCATAGAGCTCCTCAGAGTAATTCAGGTAATTTACTATAAATATAAGGAGCATTGTAAAACACACTTTTCCTAAATAGTGCCGTATCACAGGGGACTACACAAAGTTTTCCAATATGGCGTTCACGAGTTCTGGCCTTAAATATTTTAATATTACTTTTTACAAAGACAGCGCATTCAAAAATGTAAAGGCACTTTAACCTCTTAAAAAACGGTGCAACGATACCCCATACGATGAGATAGCGAAGAACATAAAAAAACACCCCCACTGTACATGTTGGGGAGCTACCCTAATATAATATGTTTTTTCCCAAATTTATATAGGACCAACTTCGGAGTATATCAATACAAAAAAAAAACGAGCGAGCCTTACAGTAGTCGCGTATGATGTGTAACATTTGAAACCTCACCTTATATTAGTAAAAAGAGAAATAAAACCTACTACAAAAGGAATAAGCCCTTTGAACATTATGTTCTAAAATCATATCAAATAGCGCGCGCTTTCGCGACTTCCTGTTGCACACTTCCGTCCCATTTCACGAAATCACTCCCACAAATTGCAGGAAAGCGAGAGAAAAGATGTTACACATCTATAAGAATTATCAAAATCATACTTCTCTGTAATAAGTTATGCGTGGTGATCATACAAAAAAAAAACGACGGGTTGCACTCCGGGAGTGCCGGCAGGAGTGAAAACTTGAATATTAACGTTGTGCATTTTTGATATTTTGTAATGGTTAGGGAATATTTTTGCACGAATTGCTTTAATTATCAGTATAAAAGTAATATCATGTATGTGGTAGAATACAATATTTATTTATTGCGCTATCGTACACTAACATGTCAATTTTTAATACATTAAAAAAGTATATCTCTCAGAAAAATTAAAAATGGTTGCCTGTAAAGTCGGTTTTACGGGCGAAGATTTTACGTGACAACGTCTTTTTCTCGGTAGAATATTTATTGATATGAATATAATTAAATTGCACAATAGGAACAAGGAATTGAATGAAAATAAGAATTGCACAAATTTTAACTATAGAAATATATTTTGTTTACTAAAACATTGTACATGTAAACTTAAACTCATCGTAACGTTACCGAGCGTTACACTTTTTCATAAGTGACTCCCAGCCGCAACCTAATTTAAGACGTTGTCACGTCAAAAACTCACATGAATCACGTTTAAGCGCACTTAGCGACATCTATTGTAAAAAAATCAACTTACATGAATCACATAAGCGCACCTAGCGACATCTATTGTAAAAAAAATGCATTCTCTTCGCAATAAAGCTGCCACCTGGACGTTCTGGATAGAGACTAATTATTATAATACGATAAAATAAAATATTACTATGTTTCGTCCAATATATTGAAAGTCAACAACCTATCCAATTTTATTGTGTGTCATGTTGCGATCAGCCCATGTGTTTAACCTGACGCATTTTAACATTTTTTACCCATACAAAGAAAAGTGTACAACGCCGCTAAAGAATTTTTCACTTCAAAAATTAACGCGTCGACTTGATTCTCCTTCCACAAGGAGCATATAAATATATAATATATTCCTACATATTTTTTATAATTTATATTGTTAAGCATTCTCGAGATTACACCAAAAAGATAAATAGTTATGCAATGTAAGTTAAGATTGTATATTTATTTAATATACCAGAGTCAAACTTGTAGTACCAATCAGACTTTGAAATGCAATAGCCTATCTAACCAAAGGAACACTCGAACTGAAGGCAGAAACAGCTATTGACTATAAATTAAGGATTAGCAAATGGAAGGCTTAACCGGATTATAGTGCGAGAACCAATTTGTTAAGTTTATAGCTGAAATGCACTTAAACTGTTTGTTTTTAGAGTATAAATTTCAATCCTATTATGTAATGCTAAAATTGGGTTTTATACGGATTCAAGTGACACGCCTAAATATATCTAAGGTTGAACTGCGGTGCTATTCTGTGAGAACAAATGATCACAATTAACTGTGGAATTTGCCACAACGGCGAAAAGATATAATTTGAAATTTATTTGAAATTTTTGTTTTAATTTTGAATCACACCAGTGAATTCTGCGGTGAAAGTGTAACTTTCCGCAAAGTTTTCGGATAGTAGGCATTGAACTGTAAATTTTTGAAAAATTATTCTAAATGGCTCATAAAATGTTTAAAAATAAAAAAGAACAGGTTCTTTCTCGGCTTGGAATCGAACCCGGGCCGCCCGCATGGCCAGCGAGCTTTCTACCACACTGTACCTCTGATGCATGTGGCTAAGGTCAGACTTTTTTAATAACATTTAAAAATATAATGCGGCATTCAAATCTAAAAAAAGTTTTACAAGAAAAAAATTCCACGCAGACCAGGCAGCAGACGGGACTCGAACCCGCACCCTCCGCTATCTGACCATTATGCTACCGCGGCCCTAATTGTCCGTGTCAAATTTTCTCTAGTATTTCTTAGGCTGTAAGGCAGCGCCATCTCTTCGCTTTGTAGGAAACCCACAAAAGTAGTCAAATTATCTTTAGACTTAAACATCTAGCAGTTAAATTTAAAGATAGACCGCTTAACTGAGTCCTCGCAAGCATTGTAAAGGGTGTAGGAGAGGACGAGAACCCGTTTTCGGGTTCTCGGGCTAGGCCCCCGGGCCTTGAGAGGTGCGGGCGGCGGGCGTTTGTTATTCTCCAAGAATGTGCCTGCCGCCCGCACCTCTCACGGTCCCCTTTCTCGTCTTCCCCCCACCCTTTACTCGCGGGCGAGGACTCAGTTAAGCGGTCTACCTTATATATATATATATTTTTAAGCATTTAACTGCTAGAAATCATTGCTCTGATTCTGATGATCATTTTTTCTTACGGAATAGCACCGCAGTCCAACTTAAGATATATTCAGGCGTGTCACTTGAATCCGTATTAAAATTTAGTATAGCATAATAATATATTACATAACACAAAAGTAGTCAAATTTTCTTTAGACTTAAACATCTAGCAGTTAAATGCTAAATATATAGATAGACCGCTTAACTGAGTCCTCGCAAGCGTTGTATAGGGTGTAGGTGAGGACGACAACCCGTTCTCGGGCTCTCGGGCTAGGCCCCCGGGCCTTGAGAGGTGCGGGCGGCGGGCGCTTGTTATTTTGACAAGAATGTGCCTGCCACCCGCACCACTCACGGTCCCGTTCCCGTCCTCCCCCCACCCTTTACTCGCGGGCGAGGACTCAGTTAAGCGGTCTACCTTATATATATATTTAAGCGTTTAACTGCTAGAAATCATTGTTCTGATTCTGATCATTTTTTCTTACGGAATAGCACCGCAGTCCAACTTAAGATATATTCAGGCGTGTCACTTGAATCCGTATAAAAATTTACTATAACGTAATTCGATTGTCTGCACCTCTCAAGGTCCCCGTTCTCGTCATCGCCCACACCTTTTACCCCATAGGCGAGAACTCAATTATGCGGTCTACCTATAGTTATATTTTTATTTTTCGGTGCGGGTTCGAGTCTTGTCTGCTGGCAGTGCCGCATGGAATTTTTTTTAGTAATAAAATTACTCTAAATAAAAATAATACGACACGCTTAAGATGAACTAAAAATTTTATGGTGATGAAAAAAAGTTTCACAATAAAATAAACTAGAAGATATATATTTCTTTCTTAGGTTTTCTTAACCGAAAGCTCAATAAAAGTCTTTCGAAGGTAGCTCGACAAATTAAATAAAAGTTTGATTCAGACGACGCGAAGTAGTACAGGCTACGAAACGTCAATAAATAAATAAAGTTTCGTGCATTAACCCGTAAAAACTAGTTTTATTTATAGAAGATATATTTAGATAGACCTTGTACTTCTTCATTGGATTTTCATCGTTGTCTTCTTTCTCCAGACAGCCGTGGTTGGATCCAGAGTTACCCTCCCCTGTCGAGTGGAGAAGAAGGCAGGCCAGCTACAATGGACCAAAGACGACTTCGGTCTGGGCCTCCACAGAGAACTGAGTGGATACGACCGGTACAAAATGATCGGGAGTGATGAAGAAGGTAAGAAGAAATATATATTATTTTCACTAACGACACACTTTCAATGCGAGGAGATGACGTTGCCTTGCAGCCAAAGCTGAAATAAGACGGTTCATTTTTACTGCCGTGGTCCTAACGGTCGTGTCGAATTTTCTCTAGTTTTTCTTAGGCTGCAAAGGCAGCGCTATCTCTTCGTATTGTAGATAACCCACAATGTGAAACGAATACCTTTACAAGTATTAAACATTTGAAAGAAGAAATAGCAATTGTAGTAATGTATTTTACTTTTTAAGCATTTACTTGCTAGGTGTTTAAATCTAAAGAAAATGTTTTCATAACAAAAATTACACACGGACCAGGCAGCAGACGGGACTCGAACCCGAATAATCCGCTATCTAGGGCGGATGCACTGACCATTATGCCACCGCAGCAATTCAAACGTCTAGCAGTTAAATTCTTAAAAAAAAAAAACATAATTGCACATCTAAGTTAAAATTGTACCAAGACGTAACGTTATGCGAGATTTGAAATCAATACGTTTTGACTACGTGAATTGCAAGCAAACAATTTTTACAAACTTTCTTCTTGCAGGAATATTTTTAAATCTATTTACAGTATTTCTTCAAATTATTTATTAAGAACCCTTTTACAAAATTGCGCCGCTGCCGTACTGATCGGCGCGTAGGTAGATTTGCACTAGTATATATTTCATTTCACGGGTGATGTTTTAAGTCTTATAAAATAATTATTAATGAACTAATTTTAAAAATATATGTATACATATTTTAATAGTTCAATGATGGTAGATAACTTTTATGAAAGTTTTTGATAGTAATTCTATTTGATTCAATATCAAAATACGAGATAAACCTGCATTATTTTTGGGAAAACTCATGGAGGTTAGATGTGCTTTTTTGCTAATTAATGAGATAGAAAATCAAAATTCTAATACATTATGTTACACCAAAAACATATTTCTGATGTCGTAGTAATTAATTTGATATAATTTATTGACCATTATTGAGAGATGAGGCATTTGAAGTTGTGCATATAATCGTTTTTTCCGTAAACTAGCTGCAGTAGAACGATCAGTACAAAAAAAGGGAAACAGTATTTGCAAATATTCTACATTAACTTACAATAGGAAGAATAGATTAACTGTTTACTTCTATTGGAAATAGTGAAAAAAATATCTAAATTGATAAACGAGGCGCTCAAAAATTACGATTTTTTGCAAAAAATGTGAAAGGGCTCTTAATAATATAGTATTATTATTTATCTTGTTCAATCCGAGAATGAGGAGAATATTTTTTTCGTAATTTCAGGATCTGACTAAGTAATTAGGTATACAGGTATCTTGTTGTTCTGTTTGTCTTCAAGTTAACGAATCAATTGTGTAAATTAACTTCAGGCGATTTCGTGTCTGTATTGACATTTACTTTTCTTGGTGTTTCACTTAACTGCTGTTTTGTGTCGCAAAAAGTTCCATCAAATATAATCCATCATTTTGGTTCATTTTGTTTTTGTAGAATCGAAGTCCACCATCAGTTCTCCTGTCCACTCCATTCAATTCGCGACCATAATCAGCATTGTATCAATGGGAATTTCATGATCCACCGTGAATTTTGAGTTTTCAGAGAAAGTTACATTTTTATTTTCTTAAGCATTTATTTGATCGACTAGCTAGATGGTGCGGGTGGTTAGCATGTTCGGCTGCGATCGTTGAAGTTGAGCAACTTTCGCAGTTGTCAATCATTGGATGGGTGACTAAAAATCTTCTATCTCGAGTTCCTCCGTGCTTCGGAAGGCACGTTAAGCCGTTGGTCCCGGCTGCATCTGTAGTCGTTAGCACCCGCCAATACGCACTGGGCCCGCGTGGTGGGTCATGGCCCAATATCCCTATTCCACTATTCCACCCATAGGGAAGGCGTGTGCCCCAGCAGTGGGGACATTAATAGGCTGATGATGATGTATGATGAATCAGTATACATTCTTCGACTATCAGGTACTTGAAAACTTCTCAATCACCACTTAACATCAGATGGGGTAGAGTCATTTGCCTACCTGTCTATATAAAGAAAAACTCATCATCTCCAGTACTCAAGAGATAGGTTTACCTAGTTTGGGGACTATTTTTAAAACAATGTTAAATTCACTTTTCATTTGTCAATTAAAAAAAAATCGGACAACAGCAGCCCATATCAACTATACAATACCAAACAATAAATTAACATTAAATTAATTAACAAAAATAACAACATCATCAATAATAAATAAATAAATCATCATTATTATTATTTAAACTACTACTACGACTTCACATATCCAACCACAACTTCTTGACTACTGAATCCTGAAAATTAAATCCATGGAGCCGTAGCCTTTCTAGAATGTTCTTAGACAGAATTTATTTTGTGACATTCCCCTTGTCTCGAGCACCAATTTAGACACTAATTATTAAGAACTTAAACTAGCCATTATACCAACATTATACAGCTAAAGGCAAATGTCAATACTCCTTAATGACAATGTTTATATTTGAGTATACCGTGAATGGATTCGATTCGTGGATGATAGATGGATTATGATTTATAAATAAAGTAAACCCTTACCAAATAAACGGTTCGAAAATAGATTGAATGCTCAACAAAATGCGACATCAAAATGTTAAAAGAATGAAACATTTACTCAGATGTAAAAATACACTGAACTGATAAAAGGTTTCAATTATTCCGCCATTTGACCTTAACATTTGGTCGTCATTATCTATTTAAATGTCAATCATATAAGAACAAAGAATTTCTATGTCTATAAAGGAAATTCTTTGACAGCGCGTAGGTTACTCTCATATTTATACACTGGATCCTTTCAAGGAAGGCGTGTATACTTCCCAAAAACTAAGTGTCATAAAAGATTTGCTATTCACTTATGTTCAAACTTAAACTCAGAAATCATTTAGTGTCGCCGCACACGGGCTACACGCCACAGCCACAAACACCGCCGCTCGTATTAGATATCCCAACCATCCCTATCCATCACAACTTTATTTTAAATCGGACCTTTAAATTTTTTCACCAGAAGACCAGAGTTAAGTGGGTTCAAACAAACAAACTCTTCTGATATATAATATTAGTTTAGACATCAGAACGTTTGCATCATGCATTTAATTTTATCCTTAAACTGTAGGGTTCAGAGTTCACAAACAGAGATCGCAACTACAGACGTCAAACAAAGCATACATAAACAGTTAACCAAACAACCCAAACGAACAGATGCCAAGATCCATTAACATTATTAGATACACGGTGTATTTACCTCCAGGAGTTCTGCAGTACCGTCCGATCGTCAAACTGTACCAGATGATTTATGTAGTACCTTTCTAATATTTATTATCCCCGAGCCACCATAGTTTATCGTTTCCCCCAAAACTTCCGAGTCTTAGGAAAACAAACGACACTTTAAGTTTGTTTCGACAATAAGTTCCGGCCACTGTTGAAATTTTCAAAGTGTCAAAGTGTAATTGATAAATCTTCCTCATTGTTCACTGTTAACATAACACTATGGAAGTTATTTGAAAAGCTATTGTTAGCGTTTTGCTAGGACTAGTTCCTGATTTAATTTAATGTTAAAAGAGTGGTGAACCAGCTTATAGCCTGCCTGATGGTAGTATAGTAGTTGTAAGAACAACTACTATACTACTACCGGCCACCTTAGCCTATAGACGCTTGCATACAAAAAATATCACTTACGCTATTGCCTACTCTGAGCCCATTCCTTATTCCATGGAGCCCTGGATTAATCATCATCAGACACACAACACCACTAAAAGGTAGTATCATATGATCTTGTTCAGACACAGGGAGTCTACTCTCTTTTTCCGAAACGAACTTTCGATAACGAAGTTCAAACGAAATTTATTTCCGTCAATTTAAGGTTATACTCAATTTGAACGATAAACAATCAAATTGAAGCTTTCTTTGAGTAGGCTTAGAAAATTTACATCTCAATCTATATTCCGTCGACGAATATTATTATAATTAAAAAATAAATCAGAAACATAGTAAGAAAAGTGCGAAGTTTCGATCGAAATTTCGTTTTTCGTTGAATTAGAGTAGGGTTCCAGTTTTAAACCTTGTCCAAGAAAATATTGTATGACATTTTTTCCAGAACTCGTTTTGAACGAATGCCTAACCTTTTTGTTGTAATAAATACATGTTTAGTATCAAAACAAAACATTTTTAATCATAAGAGTCTTTAGTCTACCAGAAAAGAAAAAATAATAACTATAGGAATATGCATAATTTCATAGACAAAATGCATATTGAAAAAAGAGTAGATGAAACGGTAAAAGTAGTTACCACTAAGTGGGATTGTATAAAAATATTAACTAACTTACATTCAATTAAAGAATGTGTCTGTTTAAACAGAAATCTATCGAACTTTACGATAATATTGACAAAGGTGGCTTCAAAGTTTATTTAAAATCTTTTAAACATATACTATGTAACGTATGTTTTTTTTCTAGTAAACTTTTCTTTAGATTTAAACATCTAGCAGTTTAATGTTTAAAAAATAAATAAAAACATAAATATACTATGTTTTTATATCTAAAGAAAATTTTACTAAAAAAAGTTTCACTTGAGATAGGTTAGACCTGGAGAAAAATAAAATTAATCTATGTGATTATGTCAAAGTTTGTGAAAATAGATTTTATTTTGAACTGTGTATTCACAATGATGTAGAATTACTAATGTAACCGTATCAAATGTAAAATTCTGGAAAATGACCGTTATTCCTAATAATGAATTAGCATCACAGATATACAAAGATTTTCCGTGATTTTGATCCGTTGGAAATCAAATTTATTCATTAGATATATATTGAGATCTAAATGCTTAACGAGGAAATTGTGAGTTGAAATAACTTGAAATTGACGTAATCGCGAATAATCATATTATATCAAATTAGAACTCTCATTAATTTCTTTCCTACCTTTTCTCTCGTTAATGCCTACTCGAGATCGTTAATAATTTAATTGGAAAAGCTTCTTATTCCTACTTAACTTTGCAGTAAAATTTCTCAAGTCTAAGCGCAAGGTAAGCTGGAATGTGACTGTGGCCATGCTGTTTTATATATTTGGTTTAATAAGTGACCCAGATTGCTTCCTTGTGTGATCTCATTTTTCATGTTGTATTTGAATCAGTTTCGTCTGTTAATTAGGTACATATTGTTTTATTAAATGCATGTCAATATCTTATATTAGTCCGTTTAAAAGAGCATCAGCTTTATTTTTTTATTTATAAAGTGAAATACATTTTTCAATGACTATTTGCAAGTGAAAGCGTAACTAGAACTAAGAAAATCACATTAAAAATAAAAACCACATTTTGATAAGTATGATGTGTATTATACTCTTTATTGCACACAAATTGAAAGATACAAAACATAAATATTTTAGCAAACGAGGGCTTATCTCTAAGAGAGATCTCTTCTAAACAACCAAGGTGTAGTGAGAGAAAAACGTTAGCGGGTGTAGACATGTGCACCAAATACATACTTGCAGATTATATACCTATCTAAGACTACATACATACACACATACAGACATACATATATACACTATAAAATAATAAATACACATTACATGAAATTATGTTCAGATAAAACAAAGAGTGTTTGTGTAAAGGCAATAATTTCTTTATTAAATAACGCAATGACTTAAAAAGGTCTTTTACTTACGTTACAATTCACGGATTTATAAAAATAAACCTATTGTTAGGATTCAGATCAATAAAGTACTGTTAGAAATAAAAGTGGTAGAAATACTAATACGTTTCATAATAACTCATAGTTCAGTCACCAATATAAATATATTGCAGTACTAGATATAAAAGGGGCTTTTGATCATTATTTCTTGTTATGTTAAGCACTTGGCCAGTGTTAAGGCAGCAGTAATTGTAGTTAACGACGCCATGTTTGTTACAGGGGATTACTCGTTGGACATTCGAGATGTTACTCTGGATGACGATGCCAAGTATCAGTGCCAAGTCAGCTCTGGACCTAGAGGTTAGTATGATGAATGTGTAGGGATGAAACGATACCATCTAGGTATCGATACTTTTACTCGATACTGTATCGGTCATAAAGTATCGATGCCCACTCGGTATCGAATGAAAAGTATCGATACTTACTTGTATCGATAAATTTTGACGAACGATATTACAATTACAAATTCAGTCACAGTTTTATTTAACGAAAACAAAATAACGGCTCACGCAACGCGATGAACGAACGGCTGACAGAATAAATTGGAATAAATAAAATCATACGCAAGGCTGCCAACTGAGCAGTAGAAAAGATGCTTTCGCGAAACAAAAATTCCAACTAGACACCTTACCATAAAGTAAATTATCAGCTTATAACTTTTTTTGATACAAGTACTTACTTCACGATACTACTTGTTCAGTTCTAAAGTATCGATGCCAAAAGCCTTTAGTATCGAAAGAAAAGTATCGAGTAGTTATTTGTATTTACTCGTATCGTTTCATCCCTATGAATGTGGGATAGCAATTGTATTTAATAAACTAGTATAAATTGTTTGTTATCTTGTGTTGTGTTTCTACTGGCCATAAGAACATGAAATTTACTCGGTAAATAGAAACATCAGAGCAAGTGAAAGAATTTGTTCTATGTTCTAAGGCATTACTACAGAGTATTGAATCAAGGTAGAAGATACTCGAAGATATGTAAAGAAAAATATTATACATTTTTCTGAGAAATGTGATACACATAATGTTAATACTAGGAAAAAACACGATTTGGTTGTACATAAGACTCGTCTCCACAGAATAAACAATTCCATTGTGGGCCAATGTATACGTTTTTACAATAAGCTTCCAAATAGTATGAGAGTTTTGCCTATTAATAAATTTAAAACAACTTTAAAAGCTAAATTGTATAAAAAAGCTTATTATAAAATTAATGACTATTTAAATGATAAAAATGCGTGGGAGTAAAATCTGACCAAAATTTACGCATCTAAAACTGTACTTTTACTACCTTAATTATTATTTTTTTGTTGTAACTATTGACCTGTAATGATTTTGTAAGATCAGTACGAAATTGTAAGCTGTGGAGTTTCTTTCGCGACAAAGCAGCATAATAATTAGGTATTTAAGTGAAATAATTACATAATATATTAATTTATTGACGATTTAAAAGTACTTAGCAAAGTCCATGTAAATAAAGATATTTTGAGTTTGAGTTTGAAAGTATCGATGTTCTAAGCACTAGTATCGACTATCAATCGAATCAAAAGTATTAATATCAGTACGTCCTCTAAGTTCAAGCATTAAACTTAAACTCATTTATTCAGTCTAGGCTGTTACAGTTAGGCTACGATTCCTAAATCTACGGCGTGAGACCTTGTACTGAGAAGAACCGGCAAGAAACCCACAAAGGGCTATTTTTTTCTCCCTGTTTTGTTTCATACATTCATTTCGTCAATTGAAAGATGACATCAATAATTTAAAACATGCGTTGATGTCAACTTTCATCACATTAATATTAATAATTAAAAATAACTTAAGTATTATAATTTTGAAGTGGCTATTAAACAATCTTCAACCAAATTAGCAAAGTAAAACGACTTAGTCTATTATATTAAGCCCAAGGTGCCTTATCATTTATGAAATCTTTAACAGTATAGTAAACTTTCTTAAGGAGATTTATTTGAGCATTCCATTGCCGAGCGAAAGAATGTTTGCTTGCTCAGAACTGTTCTGAGCACTAGGTGGAACCGCAGCAGACTTTACCCTAAAATGCAAGATAAATGCGCGCCTCTGTTAAAAGTATTGGTATGTTCATACGAACATCATAGTAACGCAAAGCACATACAAATATTAATCAGTAAAATTGTATAACCACAACTTTCGATTTTATCATCCTAGAGACTATATCGTGACTACCATAGTAAACTTACGAATTTGAATTTCATAAAACCTTCTACGCCAAAATATCGTATATTAATTTGGTAAGTTTACTTTGGGTGTATAAACATAAAATGCAGATTATTCAAACAATCGGGACTTTTGGAACCGTCATTGATAAAATTGTGTGACTTTTCCCTGGTGTTAAGTACCCCATTATGTGCAGTTTTTTATTATAGATTTTTACTAAAAAAGCAAATTCGTAAGTTTGGCGTAGATGTGACGATATAGAAACGAATAAAAACTGTTCAAACTTGACAACACTAAACAAAAAACAAAAGATAAACAGTAAACTTTTGTATTGTATGTACGAATACCTGTAACAGCAGATTAGAGAAACTTCCCAGAGATAATATTGATAATCTTCTGAGAAAATCAAGGCTAGGCTTTCGCGGAGACAAACTTTCTACTGTATATTGCAGACACGCACTTTGGGATTAGATATCGTCCTAGAAAACGGGTATACTTTGTACTTTTATAAGTATCTATATGGAATAGATACTTGTAAAGGTAGTATTTACGTATTAAGCTTGATAAAAAGAACTCCAAACATCTTTAACGTATTAGAAAAATAACAATCAGAATAGTTTAAGTTAAGTGTAATATTTCAAGTCCACTTTATTGATCCCTATTCATAGAATTCGGATGAAAATTGGCAGATGGGACTACTGATTTCTTGGTCATAACCAACATTAAATATTCCTTATTTGTATGGTCTGATTAAGACATAACAGTTGATTGCATGCCTGTTTACAAGAATAATTACAAACAGTAGCGTTGGCATTTAAAAAATTAAATGGAATATAGAAAAAGGAAATCTTTTTAAGTAATGGAATCTAAATCTATTAATTCATGTTCTTCTATGAGGAATAATTATAATTCGTTTAAAATTCTTCAATATCGTTATGTAAATTCACTTTCGAATTTAGATTTCATGCGGGTTTCGAACAAAGTTCTCAAAGTAGTATGAGACGGAATTGATCAAAGAAACGTATTTCCTTCGCTACAAAACGCTAGCGCAAATAAGGTCCCTACTTAAGTTGAATGATCGAGATCTATAAGAAGCATCTTTTACGTAACGCATGCTGGATTTAAACACCTTGTTAATATTTTTTCACCGACGAAAACGGCGGAGGAGGTTCTACAGTCGACGCATATATATATCTTTATATATATATATATATATATATATATATATATATATATGGTTCGCTGGGTAAAAAACATTAAACATTAATTATATATATATATATATTTACATCTTCTAAGACTTCTTGCATCTTTACAAACTGCCACCCTGCGGCGTCCACTGTACTCGACGCGATTTTGAATGTTTTAAATGCGTATTTAAGTGGCTATTATCATTATAATTTCTTTAGTCTACGCGAAATTGCATTAAAATATATAATGCCAATATTCGATTTTAATATTTCCCGGTAATTTAGCGCATCCGTTCACCACCATAACCATACAGCACACTGAATATTTACGTATACCTTCTATGCACTGCTTAAATGCTCCTACCTCCGTCCAAACTTATGTTTAAATTGATTCTGCATAATACGATTTATTTTTACAAAGTTACGTCCCTCAATTTTTAAAAAGAGAGTTGTTAGTTCTGGATACTGTAGGTACTGTATATCAATGATATTCATCCTGCTAGTCCACCGGCTTCCAGGTACATCAGCACTTATACTGGAGTAGTAAATAGGAAGCTACAATTACTTATTTATGTTCAAAGCTTGATCGTTATTTTTGAGTTTTACACAGGTCAGTCGGGTAGACAGGGAATTCTTTTTTTTATTATATTTTAAAGTTTACATTGGTCCGTACCTTTATGTCTTTATATTTTTATTTATTAAAGTCATGATCATATTTAAGATAACTTTTTTAGCTCGGCTGGTCTGGAATTTCAAGAGTACCGGTGGGATTTGGGCTTGGTTGTCCCTTGACCCTGTATTTTACGGACCCAACGACAATATAGTCGTGCTCTGTGTACATCGTCTACAACGGAGTCGGAGGGATCCACCAAGGATAACTTAGAATACTGTCCGTTCCGGTGTCTTGCCTGATGCTAGTACTGCCAAGAGTTGTCCAATGGCGATCTGTAAGGTTTTTAGTGGGTAGGCTTATGATCAGACACTGAGCTTGGCCGCAAGTCTAGGTGTATTATTCATTTTCCCAATGTAAAAATTAGTCAGGTTTAATGTGGGTGTCCATAATAAATCCTTGTATAAAGGTAATTTGAAAGCAATACAAGCCCACCCAGCCTTGTCGTACCTAGGAAAGATAATTATAGTTATAACAATAAGAAAAGTTGGTGTAAATAGACTAATTCGAACTAGGTAGGCTCGAAATAAAGAATAAAAATATGTAATGGAAAACGACTTCATGAATTATCTCTGACCTCATCTTTTAATTTGATGACTCTGTATTAAAACAATACCTACAGGGTGAAAAAACAACCTCTTGCTGAGTTTCTTGCCGCTTCTTAGTACAAGGTCCCTCGCCGTAGATTTGTATGGGGAGGCTTCTTGACGCACACAGGTGCCGAAAGCCTGAACTAAATAAAATATCTCACCAAAACATTTTCATGGAAAATTTTGCCAAGACTGGATCATGTATCACTCGCACGGACAAAAAGTTATCAGATCGCACGTAGAGCCATGCTTCTATCTCTACACGCCCTAACACTAAGACCAATTTTATCAGGGCGGTGACGGAGAAAGAATACAACTCACCGTCCCTTCTCTTCGCGTGGGTGTCGTAAGAAGCGAATAAGGGATATCGGAGCTTCCATCCGCTCTTCTGATACTAGGGTGCCTAACACCCGCCTGGTTTGTTACCACCGTGCGCATGGTGAAAAACCCGTTAAGTGCTTCTCGCGTGTTTCGGGGTCAGCCAGCGTACAACCAGAGTTCGAGTGGAGATTGTCGTTGACTGATTCAGTCTAGGGGAGGCATCTGTCGAACCGATGCCGGGAGAACTGTATCGACCCGCCGTCCAAGGCGACCCGAAGAAACGGCTGTCCCGCTGGCCAACCGTGGCACAGTACAGGGGCCCGAGCATTCCTAACCA